TGACCCCGACAAAGTCCCATTTTGGGCTCCAAAACGTGGGTTTGTCCTGGTCATGTGTCCATTGCCTGCACTATTCGCCCCTTTGACAGCCCTGCACTTCCCCGGAGCCCAAGTGATGCTTATGATGCTCGCTCTTGGAAACCCATTGGACGCTGAGCGGTCTGCGACGAACGGGGGTGGGGGCTCGTTACCTCTTACCTCCATGTCCAACAGAAGACCACGAGCGCAAGTTGCAAACAGCCAGACAAGCCGCGCCAAGAGACAGAGAGAGCGAGAGAGCGAGCGAGAGAGAGAGAGAGAGAGACTATGTTGCAACAGAAAGGGTGTCCCAAAACGGAGCCAATTGAGAGAGAGAGAGAGAGAGAAAACGAAACAGAGAGAGAGAGAGAGAGAGAGAGAGAGATATAGAGACAGAGACGGAGAGAGAGGGGTGTGCTTTTTGAATACGCTGCTTTCCCTTTGGAAAGAGAGTTACAGACAGAGAGAAGGAGAGAGTGGGAGAGGGAGGGAGGGAGCGCTTTTTGGCTCAATAGCTGTAGTTTAGCATCATTTTGGCTCAAATGTTTTAACATGTTCGGCTCAAGCTAAGCACAGCAAGACGGAGATGGTCACGACAAGCAAAAAGGTTTTAATATGAATAAACCTCGAAACACAGAAGCTAAGGCTTTGAAGGAGGAGATCTCCAGTGCTGAAGGGCGCGTGGCTGATGCTGTCCTGGAGAGCATCAATGACAATGCATACAAGTTCCTGCTGCAAAGCCTGAAGGACCGAACCTTTGGCAGACTTATCTGTGCATGCGAGAGCAATCATGGGAACCAGTACGTATGCATGTTCTATGAAGACCTCAGCTGCCTCAGGCAAAGGATGAGGTGAAGCAGGAGCCTGAACTCGAGGCCGAGGGCCTGGCGCCGGCTGTGGTACCAGTTGCTGAGTTGCCGCGTCCGGAAGAGTCAGCAGGGATTCTCGGAGGTGAGCAAGCTCCGACTTCGAAGGAAACACAGCTCGAGGAGTCTTTTCTTGAAGACACGCTAGTGACTACTCCTTGCCCTGAGAAGGATGCTTACTATGGGGCTAACAGTCCAGAGCCTTTGCCCGAGGAGGAAACTCCCAAGACCCGAAAGCCATCGCCCAGCGAGCCCCCAACTTCAGCTGCTTCCAAGTCTTCAGATGCAAGTGTACAGACAGGCACCCAATCCGAGCCAGACGCGGCTACAAGGGAACCCTCAAAGCATATCCCAGATCCATCTGAGCACATCGTGCCTCCGAAGTCGATGCCTTTCGACTTTGCTCCCCCCACGCAGGCTGCCATCAATGCCCGACTTCGTAGGATCTTCAAGCCTCGTGCGAGCGGGGAATACCAAGTGGATGCCGAATTCATTAAGATGTACAAGGACAAAAACGGTGGAGGGCAGGAAAAGGTCTACAAGCTTTTTGAACGCACAGGATTCAATCCGGTGCTTCCGCTAAAAGTTCGAAGTAGTACATCGTTTTATGAGTTCGTTCTAGGGGCCTGTGTGTAAGGAGGTTGCTGCTAACTTACGAGGTGCTTCGTAGGATTTCTTCGGCTTCTTTAGGACTTGCTTCTGATCGATAATATGTGTAGACTAGCGATCTTGAATAGCTCGCCCAAGACCTGCCCTGAATAGACCAGGTGACTTTCGTCAAGCACTGCAAGAAGGTCACGCAGCAGCTGTCGGAGGAGTCACTAACCGTGGAAGGAGAGTTCATGTCCGAAGAAGACATGGACAAGGAAAACTTTAGCGCGTGGCTAGGATGTATATTTTGCCGTTGCAAGCCTAGATTAAAGTTAACCGCAATATCCCCGCCCAGGATCCGAAAGGCCGGAATCAAACGGTACTGCCGGAGATTCCCGCATCTGTGCAGGCAGGCCTGTGCGGCCTTCAACATTCAGTGTAGTTCATACCAGATCACAGCCACTGTGCAGGGAGAGCAAATATGGAGACGGGACCCTCTACTGGGTGGACAAGAAAATTAAGGGTCACTTGACGCTTCTTGGCTTATACTAGACTGACTAGGCTTTGCAGCTCCTATTCCTGATATCCATTTTCATATAGACCCCTATAAGCGCTAAACCCTAAACCCTAAACCCTAAATAGTTCCCACGCGATATTTCAGGAAATCCAAGCGGACTTTGGTGGAGACAGCCATGGAGTTTGAAGAGGACACCGACCATGAGATGGATGCACCGGACCGGGCTGCTTCGTGGGGCATGCTGCAAAACGATGGTTTCTCTTAAGCAATTTAGATCGCACGGTGCCCAACAACCCAAACCCTTAAACCTCAACATGTTTGCTTAGGGCCTGGCATCTTGGACGAGGTCGAGTTGTCAGATGGACCTGATGACGACCAGCCAGGTGAGATGAATGCTGAGTATCTTAGCAAGAGTGGGTGGCCGGAGCAAGAGAAGGACCTTCAGCCATCGGCACTTCTACCCAGTGCGCAGAAATGTGTGCAACGCCATACAAAGAAGCTTGAAGCTCTCTCCCTGAACTATGACGTGGAGAAATTGACCCCAACACAATCGGAGTTCCAACCTCAGCTGAATGCACCCACCCTCTACCAAACACACACCCACAAAGCCTGAACCCTAAACAAATACGAGGGTTCTGCTACTATAGCTGTGTTCCTTAACGAGTGTATCGCCCTAATCCCGTCACCCTGACTTTAAACACTCCCAGGTAGAAGACCAATCTACAGAAGATGATCGCGGAGCTCACGAAGGCGGAGGAGGAGATGTGCAACATGCACAAGAAGGGCATCTGTGAGGGTTTCTCTAGAAAGTGCCTCCTTTGCAGAATTGCAAAACCTTGTTGCCGTGGCTACCACCTCGATCGTGCTCTCCATTGCAGTCTCAGTCTCATGCTTAGGGGCCAGAAAGAGATCAATGAGAAGCTCGAAACCACGAAGAGGAAGTCATTGCCCCAAGTTTCCATCCCCAAAGCGACTAGAAAACCTTGCTATGGCTCCGCCTAGGATTCTGGAGTCAATGTGCCTTCACGACCGTGCCAGGCCGTGACTTTCGAAACCGATCCGTTCTCATGCGTTATCAAAACACCCTCCGTGGCAGGAGCTACGCCCCCAAGATTGCTAGGAGCCCTGCTGAGTCGCGGCCAAAGGCAGCGGCAAAGTCGAAAACTCGAGCACGCCAGGCCTCTGCTACGCCTAAGGCGACCCCCAAGCGTCAGCGAAAGTAGGTTTTGGTTGATCCTCTGGCCGCAGCAAGCCGCGCCGTTATGTTCACACTAGTCTTGAATACAATACAAGCACATATACGAACAAGACTTCGCGAGGATCTTCTGACATTCTGATTGAAATTCAGTCTCAAGTGTCATGTTGTTTAACAACGTGGCCAGCATGTCAATCTTGTGGTTCCAGACCTTCGGGCACTTCGTCGAAAAACTGTCTTGACAACCCAGTTCGCATGTGCATTTATCGCATCCTACTCCGGTTTCTTACATTATACAATATACCCCAACTAAAGCATACTAAAGCCAGGTACCGGGAAAGATGTTCAACAAAATCTTCTTCCTCACTTGGCTGAGACGATGGGAGATGGGGTCTTATCCTCAGATGCCTATCATTTTGTATGCAGGTTCGTGACACGATACCCAAATTCCAATTTGAGACCTGTTCGCTCAGGCGGCTGTCGCAGTGGTTCGTTGCCTGGCAGCGGCCAGGTGCGAGGTCCCGTCGGAATCCCAAGAGAAGAATGCGCAAAGATTCACAGAGAACCTATTTGATGGAAGCGACCTTTCGCTTCCGATTCCTATTGAGCGACTCGATCATTCTGTTACAGGTGGTCACGAAAAGAGAATCTCAACCTTTCATGTCAAACCTCAAAGTTGGGTGAAGTACCTGATGACCGAAGAGCCTGATGTTCTGGTAGGTATGACTGGTGATTTCAAGACGAACAACGAAGCGTTTTGGACAGCCTACAGACATCAGCATGCCACACATTCAGTGTTTGCAAAGCACAATGGAAGATTAGGAGATGTTCTGCCCATCTTCCTACATGGGGACGAGGGACGGGGGAAAAAGAAGACGGGGTACCTTGTCTTGAGTTTCGAATCCCCATTTGGCAGCACGGAGCGCAAGGTCAAGAAATGCAACTGTGCAGTGTATCTGTCGAGTCGCCCAGATCTACCTGTGTATGGCGTTTGTAATGAGACCTTGATCCCAGCTCATCTTTTGGCCGCTTGCCGAAGCATGTTTACCAACTATCGTGGTCATTCTTTTCTGAGCCGACATCTTCTATTTGGACTCAGCAAGACAACCTATAAGTCCAATCCTCATATCGTGGCAAAGCTGCTAGAGGAGATGGCCGATGGCTTCCGTGAACTATTTGATGAAGGTATTGTTATCGGGCATCGGAAGATATTTGCCGCTGTCGTTGCCGTGAAAGGAGATGCAGACTTCCACACAATATACTTTGCTTTGGAAAGGTGCTACAGCAGAGTGGTCGCACAACAGACTATGGGGTACATATGCCACCTTTGCAATGCCGCCGCAGGAACCCTTGATCCGGGCCTGGATTGCTCGCCTTTTGAGGATTTCTCCGATCAGCCTCAGTGGCAACGGGGTATGTTTCGCAAGCGCCCTTGGTCTGCGCAGCCTATCCTGGCAAGCATCCCGCACGATCAACAGGGGGCCCAGGAGCGAATGATAGTCCCAGATCCGTTCCATGTTGTCAAAATAGGACTGGGGCGGGACCTAGTGGGGTCCATCATCGTGCTTTTGGCTAGAAAAGGGTTCTTTGACTATGTTGGGTCCTCAAAGAACTTGCCAGACAGGCTTGAACGTGCACACAGCTCCTTTCTAATGTATTGCATGGCAACCAATGAACGTCCGGCCCTACGCGGTTTCACAAAACAGTTTTTTCATCTCAAGAACCAGCTGTCGTCCCCCTACACTAATTCCAAAGGTAGTGACACCATGAGCTTATGCAGATGGTTACGATGGCTAGTGTTGCTTAACTTGCTTCCCGGCAATGCAGCTGTGGAGGGGTATGATGGCATTCTCCGAGTTATGTTGCAATGTCTCGACTCGCTGCTTGGAATGTTTAGGCTTATTCATTCTCACAAGCTGTTTCTAGAGCGACCCTGTGCCACTCACCTATACATCCTGATACTACGGTTCTTACGGGGATACAAGCTCTTAGGCGTCAAGAGCATTGCCTTAGGTGTACGAGGTTTTGCTCTGAAACCCAAGGCACACGCATTGCATCACACTGCCGTTTGTTTGAAGTCACAACTGGAGAAAGGCCTAGCAATCATACTCAACCCAGAGGCGTATGGCTGCGAGCCCAACGAAGATTACATAGGAAGAGTCGCGAGACTCAGCAGGAAAGTTGGAACTCCAGTTGTAGACCTACGTGTGCTCCAGCGTGTCTTTTTGAAAACACGTGCTCTCCACCGTCGGCGAAGGAATAAGCGCATCTCGAGGTGGAATCCTTCTTGAACCCGTAAGAAGCACCTTAAGAATCCGTAGAAGAAGCCACAACCAGGAGCCCCATAAAGACCTGTCTTTTCCAGCCTAACAATCCAGCCGGCAAGATTTCGGAGCTATCCGCAATTATGCAGAACATACATTATGAAGCAAACCAGAGTAAGTCGCTTACCGCCAATGTTGAAGCCTGAACGCTGCGAAGCAGAGTCTCTGGCCAGTGATGCACGATCGCCAGGACAAAGGCAACATGGCAAAGGATTCGGGAAGGCTTAAATAGGATCCGGATAGGTTTGGAAGGGTGGGTCAGGAGGTTTTGAAGGGAGGGTCAGGTCATTTGAGCTATACTGCAAATTTGAAGCCCAATCCTAGTAGATCAGAATGTGTATGATCATAGGAATCCTGGATGCCACCTTCAAGTCATGCTTTAAACATGATTTTATCTTGATGCTAAAGTCCTTCTGACTTATAGGTCCTAGAACCTTCGAATCATTCACAACAAGGACTCCTCTCATGTTCCATCTGTTTAGAGCAGACAGGCTCAGGCGTAATTTTGAGGCCCAGGCGTAATTATTCAACTCGGGCTGAAAATCAGCCTGAACCCCTTCAGGCTGAATATTGCGCCCGACGAGGCTTTAGGTAACTTCAGAGCGATGAGAGACTTGC